CTATAGTTGTAGCTATATATATATGATGCTGATCAGCATCAGCAGATGAGGCTGGCATCAGCAAAATATAGGCAATTAACAAGACAAACATTTTTCATCTTTTTTGATATAAACACAACACAGTTTTGTTTTGTTTTGATTTTTGGTGGTACTGTAACAGTAATTGGACACTTTAGACATCTATATATACGATAGTAAACCGAATTAAACCCGGATTCGACCATTATAGTGGTGGGGTTAAGGGTTAGGATGTCGTGGACGAAGGGACAAGGAGAGCCACACAGCGCATCATATTGAACAATAAACTATTTATAGCGCTGATTTTAACGCCATCTGATAGATAAATACAGGTACTGTTGTAATTCTTGTTAATGAATAAATTACACTATTGAAACTGGCGTCAATGAAGTTGAACATTGTGTAAGGTAGCCTAGCTGCAACTGCTGTACTTGACAGAACATAGGCCCTCCTCGTCATCGAGTGGCTAAGCCAGGCTCATCTGATGGGCCTAGGCCTAGTAGTAGGAAACATAAATGAAGGGCACGGTCGCCCCGGTTGGCATTGACTGGTTCTAAACTAGGTCTATGCCTTTTTGAACCTCCCTGGCCTAGGCCTAACCTAAATAGTAGAGTAAATTAGTAATCACTAACTAAGGTAAGGTATTTAAGGTCTTTGCCCAGAATAGCCTTTCCAATTGCAACAATAAAATAAAATGTTCTGCTCTGTTTACTCCTCACAGAATTCAACAAAAAGATGTCTTTACAGTGGAATTTTGTTGCTGGATTTCTCTACTTTGAGATTTTCTTACTTGTTCTTCTCATGTTACCTTTCATTAAAGCATACATGTAAGTATCTCATGGAATAGAGATTGTTTTCTATCATCCTTTTTATTTGCCGGGAAAAGCAGCTATTTTGAAAGGAAGTATGTTGTCTCAAAAAAACACAAGTTAATATTCATCCTATTGTATTGCCATAAAGTATATGCACAGAGTCATAATTACAGCATAAAATTTCGAGATAGTCAACGCCTAATTTTTGGAAAAATCGCTGTGGAAAAAGGCCCTTACATATGGACGGACGGAAAGACGGATCTCTAGCCTGCCTAAAATGCAAGGATGTACAGTATTTCCAGCGCAGTTTAAAATTACAGTTCGATTGGGTCTGGGGAGGGGGGTGCACACCTGTGTGATCCCATTGGATCAAAAGTTATCACTGATCAGGAATGTACAAGATGCAGCCAAAAGCAAACAGGTGATAGAAAGTTGTTGTCTTTGATTTTAAAGTGTTTGATGTCTGTTTGTCTATTTCAGGTGGCAGAAGATTTTCCGATCTCGATGGTTGAACATAGTGACAGCATATGCTCATCTGTACTTAAAATTTGTTACGTTTCTCCTCATTTTACTCTTTGTAGGTAAGTTTAGAGGGTGACGCAAATGAGAGTGAAAAATATGATAGAATTTATAAAATTAGGCAAGACTTTCCTTATACAGTACCTTGTTTAGCGAACCTACCGCCCACCGATATTGATGATTTAGAATTAAATAAAATTTTAATTTTTACCAAGTATAGCACCCGTCGCCACAGAAAAATGGAATTTTCAGAAAGAAATAAAAGTTTTTTTTTTGTTACGCCTGTTGCTGCCTTAAAATCTCCAACATTTTTAAAGATATGTATGTTTCTTCCTAATTATATAAATTTAAAGCATTTAACCATCCCATTACTACACTCTTTACATTCACCATTAAAATTTTATTTTTATTTTCTCCTCTGTCTGGATGTTTTGACAAAAACATTTTCTAAATATAAGAAAAATAAATTATATTTTTATTCTTTTTCCGCCCTCCTCTGACGATCTTTAAAAAAATGAGTTTGCAAAACAAGGTACAAGTCTGTTGCAGAATTTGTCCTTGAACAAGGCAGTTTTATTTTCTCCCTCCACTCAATGGGAACGTATATTGGGTAACTGAGTTTGAACGAAATGATTACTAGTTGCCAAATTACAGAGGCTCTCAAGTCTCCCACGAGTGACAGGGTACACCTGCCAACTCTCACGTATAATGCATGAGTCCGATGCTTGAGACACTGTTAACATCTCACGCCAACGTTGTATTGTCTCATGCATCTAAAAAAATGTTTAAAAGATGAAATGTACGGCAGATTATTATGCTAAAATTCATAAAAAATGATGCGAGTTCATCATTAAAATGTGGACACAGGCCTTATTATAAATTTATGTTAACTAAGCTTTACCGACCGACAACTGTAATCAGTAGCAGTTCGATCACTACAATTAGAAAAAAATAATATTGAGGGCACTCTATTTTGTGATATTTATTTACATAGAGGGAGCTATATACAAATTAGTTTTTTTTTCTTTTTGTCTTGCGCAAAGTTGGCTGGTATACAGGGTCTGTTGGAAACTATTCTCCACAAACTTTTGTGTTAATGAATCTTGATATAATATTGGTACATTCATCTACAGTAGTTATGATATTGATAATGTAAATCCGGAATTTCATGTAGGGACAAAATTAATATTGTTTAAATTTTGTATCAGTTATTAATTCTATTCATAAAGTTAATTTAATGAAGATTTGTTATTACTGTACTGTAATGTTAAAAAAAAAAAATTATTTTTCATTATAGTATTATACAAATAATTATTTTGATATATTCTTTGAAGATGCAATTCGTGAGATTAGAAAATACTCCGGCACAAAAGTTGACATCAACCTTCCTGAGGCAGAGACTTCGATGAACATGAAGATGTTCCGAGCTCAAAGAAACCTCTACATATCTGGATTTGCAGTCCTTCTGCTGTGGTAAGTTCCTAAATTTGTAAGTTTAATATTCCTTGTACCCAAGTATTACATTATCTCTGATGCCACACATCTCCTTCATAACACTTTCATTTTTTGCAATTCTGATAGACTACGTCATCCGTTTGTCAAAACAAATACATTCAAATACTCTTTTATTTCATTAGCAATTCGCCTTTTTAATAACTAATTTGACAGATAATTCTACTTTTGCAATAACTCATTATTGAATTTGACTGTTGTAAATTTTTGTGTTAAATTTCAAATTTTCATATTTATTTTTTTTACAGTATATCAATTGCAATATATTGTCTTTTTAAATTTCTATTTGATACTATCTAATATTTAATTATATATTTTTTAAACTTTAGTGATAACATTAATTGCAATAAAAAAAATTATAAATAAATAATTCAAATTTTAATCTTTTTTAAATTGAAATAAATTACAATAAATAATAAATAAATTATAAATTCAAATTGTAATCTTCTTTTTTTTTTAATTGTAATGTGTGCACATATTGTATTTTTATGTGACTTTGTTTTTTTATAATTATGTATTTTCTTATTTATTTTTTATATGTTACTGTACCGAGGAATCGATTCTCGCATTTTTATGTGACAAAGTATCTTGGCCTGATTATTCATCAGCTCTCATTTATTATAATCAGGAGCTGAAATATTGAATATTCATTAGGTCTCATGAATAATAAATTGTCATTTTTCAATATTGCATTAGCTAACTTTAATAATGAATATTGTTTAACCTTCCTTGTACTCATGATTATTCATCAGCTCTCATTTAATTTAATTAGCAGCTGAAATATTGAATATACTTAGCTCTATGAATAATAAATGATTGTCGGTTTTCAGTATTGCATTAGCCAACTTTAATAATGTATATTCTTTAACCTTCCTTGTACTCATGATTATTCATCAGCTTGTTTAATCAGTAGCTGAAATATTGAATATTGATTAGCTCTATGAATAATAAATGATGGTCAGTTTTCAATATTGCATTAGCCAACATTAATAATGTAGATTCATTTAACCTTCCTCATTATTGAATATTAACGAGTTTGTCCTTAACAAGGATAGTCTATACGTTTAACCATGCTGTTTACTGTATCCATGAATACAGTGTTGGTTAAAGATCGTTCTCTTCTTCTGACGGGTTCATGTAGGGTGTTGAATAGAATAAGCACGTTGATCTCCATTGAAGCCACTCTCACAGCCTCGAATGAAGCCTCTCTAAAGCAGGCCCGTGGGGCCTCTGAGCAGGCCCAGAAACTGATGAAAGAAATAGAAGAATTGCAAAAGGTAATAAAGTAGAAAGGATATAAACAACCTATACTAATAAAATCCAATGGCCTTTAGTCTGTCACACGTCAAAATACACTGACATTCGTGTTGTATGTATAACAATGAAATCAATAATAACATCAAACACAGTGTAGATAATAGAAAGTGTTTAAATATATTGTACTTACGCTTACTCTTACTCTGACAGAATAGATGTCATATTAACTGATTTTTAACGTATAATGTATCAATATTTTGCCCAGTAAATAGTTATTTTGTTTGAAAGAAGACTTTGTGATAGTGCCTTCCCAAAAAACAGGAAAGGCATTCTGATTAGTATAGATGTAATAGTGTGTTCTTAAGGTGTATAATTCACATATTTATTCACAAAACAAGAATATACAAGTAGATTTCCATACCGAATGAAACCTTGCCTTTGGTGAACCTAAAATGCAAGGCTGTAATATTGGAAGTCTCGCACACTAGAGGTGGAGGAGGCCAGATGCCTCTGAAATGGCTAGTAAACTCATAAGTGTAACCTCTTCCCAGCAACATTATTATTAAGTATTCAGGCGTCAGCGTTTTTAGAAAGCTTAAATGAACCTACCAGAATTTACGGTCTTTTAAGCATTCATGAATTCTAAATACGGTATATATTTTTTTTAAATAAATGTTTATCCTATAGAGTGGAAACAAAAATTGTGTCTAATATGCTGTACCTGTTTTTTATTCAAGGATAGCAAGCGTAAATTGTCGCGTTCTAATTCAATGGCGGATGTTGTCGTGGCTGCAGTTGCTGACAGCGAAGTCACCAAGGAACTGAAATCTACTAAAGAAGAGGTTGCCAACCTCACCAATGGTAATCCACTTGTATATAGAATAGCTTAAGATTGGATATTTTTAACCAAGTTCTTCATAGGAAACTATGTAAAAAATTATATCTTATAACTATACAACTACAAGCACAGAGTAAACTTTTCTTCATTCGACGTTAATTCTATGTGCTCAACTGGCCTGATCCGACACACATTTTTCGACCTTTGCTCTAAGGTCATTTGAAGTGAATATATCCTGGGTCTGCCTCTACCTTTTCCACCTTCCGCTTCTCTAGCCTAGCCTAGGCCTCATACATTTACCCAGTTTAGCCTCCCATCACTGTTTACTAAAAGCGGTACAATTTACCCCTCTGCATGCAGCCCCTGGTGTTGCTAATCTAGTTTATCATTTCAGGTCATGTGAGGTCCTCATGCCATAGTAACCTGACACCTGTTTTGGTTGAATACAGGTGTGGGTATGGTTTGGAAGGCAAGCAGCTTGACTGCCAGAACTAAAGCTTGATTCATTCCAGTATAAGACACAAAAAAATGATCCCCCACTATAAAAGACACACCCATTTGTAACTTGGGAACATGTATTTGTTGTGGCAAGAAATTTTGTTTTCTCCAATAAATAGGCTAATACGATTGTTATTAATTTTTCATCAGAGTTGGAGAAAGCTAAGCTTGACTTAGCAGCCTTCAGGAAGCAAGCTGAAGGGGTTAATATTGAGTATGATAGGCTTCTAACAGAGCATGCCAAGCTACAGGTAGGCCTCAATATTTAATATTCATAGTTCATATTATTGAACAAAAATTGATTATTAATAAGTTACTATAAGCAATAAATGTATATTAATTATAAATTGACCATGATTAGTGAAGTTAATTTTAAATCACACGCAAACAATTTCAAATTTCTTTTGTAATATTTTTTTGTTTTACAGAAACAGTTAGAAGGTCAAGGAGAAGAATCAAAGAAGGACAACTAAAGGATCTTATGAATAAATTAATTTTTATCAAGCTTTAATATTGCTTTTTGGTATGGTTGATAAAATATTTAATTATTTTAAAAGAGCAATGAAATTGTAGGGTTTTTTTTTGGTAAATTTTAGCGTAGACAAAAATATATTTTTACTCTATTCCTTTAGACACCTGGCCAAGGACCAGCGAGTTAATCACTACCCTATTAGATAGGTGGCAATCCCTTTCACATGACAAATATACACATGATGCTCTACATAAACTAGTCTCATGAAGAGGCTTATGAAGTAGGGTTTTGTCATGAGAAAAAATTCTGGAATCTGACAGGATTTGAAGACAGGCATCTGGGATTGGAAGGCATGCATCTTCCACCAACCTATTACAATCATCTTTAGCTCAACGCAGACAGCGCTGCTGTAAAATAATGATAATAATAATAATACAATAATAATAATAATAATAAAAACAATAATAATAATAAAACAATAATAATAATAAAAATAATAATAATAATAATAATCAAAATAATAATAAAAGTAATAATAATAATTATAAAATTTATAATAATAATAATAATAAATAATAATAATAATAAAACCATATTAACCGTATTAACTGTAACCGTATAATAATAATAATAAAATAATAATATTAAAACACTAATAATAATAGAAACAATAGTAATTATAAAAATAATAATAAGTAAAATAATAATAATCAAAATAATGATAATAATCAAAATAATAATAATAATAAAATTTATAATTAATATAATAATAAAAATAAATAATAATAATAATAATAAAACCGAATTTATATTGCACATTATGGATCGCAGATCCCTCTAGGTGCTTTACATTTATAAGCCCTTAAACTATGGTAAAAACTATCCCCCGCGGGACACCAGCCCGTTATTTCTGAGTCTAGGTTTCAGGTCGCAAGCTTGGGCTTAACTAAATTTTCTTAATTACAGTATGGTAAAATACTACATTATCCCCCGTCAGACACCTATAAGAGGAACAAATTGTAATTAAATTCAGTTGTTAGTCCAAAAGGGCCATATCTGGCCATCTAGAGGTAGCCATAAAATGCTATGCCTTGGTGGGTCCAGCCCGTAGTGCTGAGGTGGGTCCAGACCCTTCATCTGTCTCTTTCTGGTGCCACTGGTGGTATAACTTTAAAAGTTGTCACACCATCTAGGCGGTATTTCATATCTAAGTGCATATGCTCTAGTAAAGTGCATGTTAATTGATATTATCTCAGATGTATGTGATTAATTGGTAATTTTTTTTTCTGCTCATATAGCACAAAATCCATGAATCTTGCATTTATATGAGATAAACACTAGGAACATGCATTGCACATGGATTGTTGTATCTACAAATCTTGAAATAGGGGACTGAGCTCTATGATAAATTGAGGGGGTGCCAGGTCAAAAATAAGGTGATAGGTGGTTTTTTAATTACTTGAGTGAGATTTTTTCTTCAAACATTTCTGATGGGTGATGCCAGGGGGTGGAAGGGGGGAGGGGAGGGAGACTGGGAGTGCAAAGTTTTTTGGGGGAGGTGTACAGCCCTAGATACACAATTGTTGTGTAAAAATGAACAGTAGACATAATCGGTGTGACGTTGCGTGACCACTACCATTTTGTGAACAGACATAGCAAGTAGCGCTAAATATTGCAATATTGCATTGCTTCTTCAGTATATAAAGATATTTATTAAATTCTTCTGTATACTTATTATTCAAAACCAAATGATGTTAATGATTAAGTCATTATGTATTTATAATATGAATAATAAAGGTTGTCATATATACAATAGGCATTGAAGTTACCATGAATCATGATTAAATAATTTAAACGCATTACCTTCTATTGTTGAACCAGAATATTAAAGATTTCATTTTTTCCATCATTTTCTAGAAAGTACATACATTTTACTTTTGATTCATTCCCCCTGATAAGAATATGCAATGGAAGATTCTTTTGAATTTTTAGACCATCATATATTTTTTTTCCAAAAAAGTGCACTTTTACTGTTACCCCTAGGCCTACTCTCACGAAAAGAATTTAATAATATGGATGGTGCCTAAATATAGAGTACTGTACAGCAGTAGATTTATATTAACATTTTTAATCCAAAGTTTTATATCCTTTTTTCAGTTGACTTCTAGTTTATTCAGCCGAGTTCATTCACACACCTCTTGTTTGGTGAGATTCTTAACTCACCCTATCTGTTGTGCTACTGTATTTAAACTAATATTTAGATTTCATTAATTGGGAAATAATTATTCCATGGTATAATATATGCAGATGATAGTAAAGCATGATTGTTTATACTGTATTAACCTCTGACATTTCCATGCACATTTGGAACTACAATATGTCTTTATTGACTGATCACTTAGTTATCAAATTACTGTACTAATTGTGCTTTTAAAAATTAATTATGAAAAAACATATTTACCTTAAATTTAAAATGTGATTTATTGGGTAGGATATATTTAAGGTTTTGGACTGCCTTAAGTAAGTCTTGGGTAGATAAAATAATTATAAGAAAGTTTTTTTTTACCATTATTGAAAAAATCTGGTGTATATTGAAAAGATTTCCTCTTAAATAATCATGTTTTACAGAATTCTAGAAATAGTTTTTTTACTATTATTAAAGACTATTGATGTATTTTAAAATTATTACCACTTAAATAATTATGGTTTACAAAATTCTAGAAGATAGACTGTATAGTATGCACGGGATGTATTATAGAATGATTGTTTATATGGCGGCTCTTTTATTCATTTTTTTAATAATCAGATAAATCCAGTAGAAATATTTTTTTATTATTTATGATATAAATAATAATAAAGTTAAGAAGAATCACTTCGCTTTTCACTGTAATGATATTGCTGTAGAAAGGCAGCTAAGGTATAAGTAGTGCACGTCAAAAATAGATGTGTTCACATTAATATAGCCCATTTTATCATGGGTCAGAGCACGTTAAAATACATAGAAAATACAATGTTAAAATCGTTAAAAATATTCGTAAAATACAGTAACATTAACTAATGAAAAATATCTACCATATGCAAAATATGTGCATTGTGTGCAATCGTTAAGCCTTATCGGAGCGGTAGCGGCTTTTTTATGCATGTGTGTTAAAATTTGCGTAATTTAAACTAACGTAATAAAACTGTAGCATAGCTTTGAGACCAATCTGTGTTAGTCTTGTCTATCATTTCTAGTTATATTTCCATTATGTTAAGAAGTTATTAGAGATAGGCTTATTTCTGTAAAATATTTTGTTTCAAATGTTCATGTCTTTTTTTACACCTGTTATTCAATTTGTTTAAACGCTGTTTATTCCAAATCTTTATGTATTGTGGTAACACGTTTTATTGTGTAGTGTATTTAAGATTAAAAAGAACACAAATAAATTATGAATGGTCTGAAATTATTAACTGTAATACTTTTTTCAAATTATCTACACTGCATTTTTAAATACACTTTTTCCATGTTCAAGTTGATATTTTTTTCACAGTGGAATGACAAACAATACCGTATAGCGTGTTATATTTCTATAATTTCTTTTGAATTCTTTGTAAATTCTGTTTCTTTTACTTCATTATATTTTGGAGTATTGAAATTTCAGTTCGTAGTGGAGCCCGACTGTGGAATATTTTTGGGTCGTGAATTGATACAGTATTGCTGCATAAAGGAAGTGCGAGTCTACTTGTGACATTCGTTGTACTGTACTACATTGTTAACTTCCTAGTTTTGGATGTCTTCTATTGGACTATGTCAAGGATAATGTTAGAAAAGTGCAGTTTATTAGCATGAGGGTCGCCACCGGGCCGGCCCGGGTTCTATTTGGACTGGGGATGGGGCGTCGCCCCAAGAGCCCATTGTTGTTGTTACGCCATTGGGCGGGTCTGCTTACGCCGTACAATCACACCGGGAATTCATGCGTTCTAGGCCCTAATGACAAATTTTTATATTCTGAACCTCGAACTCACAGAACTTGGAGGGAAACGCTCATTTACCTCTACCGCCCCAACCTTATGGAACAAACTACCAGACTATGTTAAACATGGCACCCACTATCAACAATTTTAAAACTTCAATAAAAACGATGTCATCCAACGTCTAATTAACTGTTGTGTCGCTGTGTCTTCGGATGAATACTGGTTTATTAAAAATGTTCATTATTAATGTTATTTACCAAGGCGTTTTCTTTGCTTCGTGTATTTTCTTGCCTCTTTTTGCCTGTTTTCTTCTATAATTTTGCAGTTTTTAAGGGATTAAATAAATAATTATGTTAACGGTTGTTTGGTGTTTGTGTTGATACATTATTTTCATCATAAGAAATATAGTACCGGTAAGATTTTAAAAGTATGAGAGTAGGCCTACAATTTCCGGGCACCGTAAGGTCCATATTCTAAACATTTTCACATCTCGGCCCCAACAATGTTGAGGTGTGGTGTGGATTTTCGCACACCCCCTACCACCAAATCCTGCATCCGCCCAAGAATGTGGCATAATAGTTTATATTTTAAATATGAAAAATGAGCATGAAAAGAAATAGAAGAAACTAATATGACTAATTAATAAAATACAAATGCAACCTCCTCGAAAGTTGACATTTGTTAAATTGGATATGAATTATTAGGTATAGTATCCCTAGTTAGCAAAAAAAAAAATTGGAAAAAAAAAGAAAGAAAAAGAAAATGTGTTTTTTTCTTGGTTTCGTTTTTTTTTTACAAACACAGATTTGTTTCTAACATTGTTTTAGGGAACTTTACTGTATCTTATTCAATTTGAGAATTATAAACTGAAACAACCCTACGTACAAAAACTAGAGTGACAGCATTGCTGATTCAACTTTCCCAATTATAGGAGTCTTATGACAGAAATTCAAGCCTCATGCTTATATTATTAACATTGCTGTAATCAATAGCATACTTCTAACATATAAAATATTGAAACCTAAATAGTTCTTTTCGAGAACACTCGATGGCCGTTAGTTGCTTAACACTATTTCCTGGTCATTGGATCAAACGCATGATGGAGCATGCATTCGACCTCTCATTGGTGTATCACTTTCAAAAAAAGTAAAACTACACCTAATGTCAAACTATTAAATTAATTAATTATCCTCGGTCATAATACGATATGTTCTGCGTTACTGTAACATGAACTTCTGTTGTTTACTTATTTATTCATTATACATTTATTTTTTTTAAATTAATTTATTTATTTATTTTCTTTAATTTATTTATTTATTTATTTTTCCTTTTGTTTATTGGGCTTTTCATTTATTTGTTTTGTCTTTTATTATTTTTATTATTTTCTGTATGTTTATATCGACTTCTATTTCCTTTAAGGCATGCCGACCATAAGATTTTTATCTTATCAGGATCATACTGTACGTTCTTCCATAGATTATTTACGTTATTATTTTGAATCATATTGTATTGTGTGTTTGTTCTATGGATGTAAATAAATGTCTTGAAATTGTTTTTTTAATTAAAAATGTTGCCCATATAGTAATATTTTGACATAAAATTAATGATAATGAACAGTGATATACTGTAGTAAATATGATAATTCTATAATATTATTGATGAATATCATTGTTTAAAACTAAATTTCCTTATTATTCTATTCTATATAATTATGATAATTAAGACATTGACTGCCAAATGAATCATGACAATATAAAAATAGGCTGTAAAATAGGAAAACAAAAAGTCGGGGATGCTACTGGTAGACTGGTATCAACATCAATAACAGCACACGCTTTAACATAGGCCTAATTAAGGCATTTCACTCTCATCGTCACCATCGAATAATATGCTGCAAGATCCTCAATGTACCGGAAATTTTTATATCTCCCTGTTCTCACTCCTTTTAATATGCTGATAACAATTGCTTTATTCGATACTCGATAATTTATTATAGTTTAGTACTTGTTTTCGTTGCATCAGTTACGGTAACTTTTTAAGTACTTAATATGAAGGTATTTTTAAGAAGACCACAATTGTCTAATTAATTTATAAGAAGGGTGTGGTCATTGGAGTTGGGACATTTAGAAATGTCAAACAGGATCCAATCAGGTCATCAGCCGTTTAGATTGTTCATCCAATCATTTATAATCTTGATGAAGGCATGTGAAGATGGAGTTAATTTCAATAAGAATTAATTTATTGATTTTTAAAAAAAATACAATTTTGGAAATGGCGTACCGCAAAGGCGGGTCCAGTGACGTAACGAAGAGTCACTGGGCCCGGGGCGAGGAAGTGTTGGAGCTCCATACATTTTACTAGTCACTTCGGTTCCCCCATCCCCACCACCCATTCACAGTGAAATTTCAAACAACACCGTAGAATGTTATACAGTATTACTATAAATTATGCTGTACTTCACGAATTAATTGGTACACCGTACCGATCAAGTGCAGCAGTGTAGAGCATAGCGGAATTAGTCTGACTTTGGAAAGATCGCGTTTCGGATACTGAATCTTAAAACTCAGGAAGTTTCCTCCTCTGGTTTTATATTGCAACCATTTCTACAAATAAAAAGGAGACCTTCTTTGTTTTATGGTTGGACCCACTGGTAGGCCTACTCAGGCGTCTAAGTAAAGGACTTTGGATGCTGCACCGTCTACACACATTGAACAGATTTAACTGATTAGTAAGTGCTAATAATGAAAAAAGAAATATCTGATTAACTATAGAAAAAAAACATGTTCTTTCTCTGTAATGGATTAACTGAATGTAAATAGGGACTACTGTATGTTTTTTCTGGATTTCTTTGAACAGTCACTACAAAAATTTAAAAAAATTAGGAATAAATTATAAATTAAGGAAACTCTGTTTAACTCAGATAAGCATCCTTTATCTTTAAATTTCTGTATTGATTATGGTTCAACTACCAGGGAGATTATTATTTTTACATCTCCATGATTATACCCGGCTTGAAGGTGTAAGCATGAGCCTATGGACAATGTAAGTAAAGTTCACAGGAAGGTGCATTTACCCTTTTAATATAATAATCAATGACGTTCAGATGATAGGCGTGTGATTTCCGGGTGTAAGTCCATGTTTTGTTGTGGCACATGACCAATCACGTGAAAATAAAACCAAAATAAAACTACGACGGCGGCGGCGGCCTTGTGAAAGTTTCTGACATTTGCACGGTGGTGTGACCGGACGTCTGAGCAGGTTAGTTTATTACTATTATTTTCAATTTTACTCTCATAACTCTTTTTATCACAATGTTATTGACACATGACACCTTTGCAAAGATGAAAGACATGAAAAATCATCCTTTTTAATGACTTGGATGACCGTACAGATAACAGAACAGAGGGGGCCTCCTCCTGGCCTAGCTCTTGGATTGGTAGGTATTGCTATTGGCAATTGCTGCTAAAGCTTAGCCTACTGTAGGTAGAGCTAGGCCTAGACCAGCTAACTAGGCCTAAAGAAATTTGCCTATCTAGGGCCTAGATATATTTGGATGGTGGAGTTTTTGGCCGAGTTTTTTGTCGATCTAGGCCTAGGCAAGGCCTACTACTAGTACTACTGGCGAGAGAGAAAGACATCTGCAGACAGTCCTTGTCCCTGGCGACGTTCCATGGTGGTTAGGCCTGCCCTGATGAATCCTGTGTGGATGGTGGTTGTCTAGCCTAGTGGCATTCTAAAATTTTTCAATCTGAAGCTGGGCACATCACACTGTGTCGTACAACTGTCGCCGACGAATCTAACTCAGCTCACTGAGACTGTGAGCATTAGGCGACTTGACGCTACAGCATCTGCTGATATTGGTAGCAGGGGCCAGTCAAAACATAAAAAAATGATCCGATTCCATTGGGCACACTTTGTGGCTTCGCATTGTCTGTAGCATCGCGTCAGCCAACGACTGATCACTCCCGATTGCAATCAACGAACGCATTCGCCAACACAAAAAACTTTACATTCTAGGGCCTAAGCCTCCGGTGGCTAGGCCTATGTTGACTGATCTCAGTCAAACAGTGCCTGTGAAATTTGTTGTGATTTGTTGCAATCAGATTCTGTGGTAATCGGGAGTAATAAAGATTGTAGCACCCACTCGCAACGGTTAACAATTGCGATATCGATTACTTAACGACTACTATTGGTGCGCTTTCACACATGATTTTATTTAGCGATTGAGTGCGATTAGGTGTCACAGTTGCCACAACTGATCGCAATGTAATGCTAGTCTGAATGAGGTATTAGAATTGTTTCTCTAATTTTTCCTAATTTTTTCAATGTTATCGTAATTTATACTGCCTCAATCCAACTATACACCATTTTATTGGGTCTATTTTGAAATGTCTCGCAACTTTTCACTAGCGGACATCCAGCAGCCTATGTCTGAGTAAATTTCATTTATCCGGACACATATCTTCTTTGATTACTTCGACAACCGAAAACACTGCAGGTTTTATGCGCCCCTATTTTCTCTTTTTTTGTTTTGGTGATTTGTTTTCAAAACACTACCCTAGGCCTCTACAACAACAAGTTCGTACTCCAATCACAGACAAATACTGAAACTACATAGAGCGAAATGCCTAGGCCTTAGGATGTCTCCCAGTAGTAGTTGCCTGGTTCTTGGAAATTTTCATTTCAAATTTTGCAAAATGATGTACAGTAATAATTTTTTTATATTATAGACCTAATTGGAAGCATGTAAATCATAACCAAAATGTTTTTAAATTTTGTATTTTTAGCCAAGTCTGATGTTAAAAAGGACCAATTGTATATCACCTAAACTTAATGCCCTTTACAGTTAGTTCCTGAAACTGTGTGACTTCAATTCTATAGAACCTGTTGTTGTGACCCTTAACCTAAAATACTGCAGCCGACAAAAATCACACCGCTGAAACTTGTGGTAATAGTATGATTGAACGTTTGTTTAAGGTGCTTATTATCGGAGATGGAACTGTTGGTAAAACATCGTTTGTTGAGCGCTATGTGTCTAATAGATTTAGAGACGATTATAAAACTACTATTGGAGGTAGGTTCACAGAACTGTGCTTTCTTCATAATTTTTATTTACATCCCGATCAAATGTTACTGGTGATCGTAACCAACTCATTGCGCTCGTACTTAATTTGTACTCGTTTTGGGGTGCTCGCATCAAATTCATGGATTACAAAACCGCTTGGCGTGGTCTATTTTTGGTATTTTTTTTAGTCCGACTGCCCGACAAACTCTGTCCGAAGGGGGGTGGGGAGGGTGCTTGACCTGTCCGGTGGGGACAGGTCAAGTCCTCCCCTCCCAAGACCATTTTAAAATCTATATTGAAGAAGAAAACGATCACATAACACTGCATCGCCTACCGTCCAGCAAGATTGGCCTATTCCAGCCTCTTAAGCTCATTGAAGAAACACAATCATTTTTTTTATTTGGCCTAAAGTACAAATAATAATAATAATAATAATTGTCAATTTATATAGCACATGTAAAATGCCTCTATGCGCTTTACAGCATGGTGTGGTAAAAATTACTAAAAGTTTCACCTAACAAAAATAATGAGTAACAATAAAGAATAACAACAATAAAAGATAAATAAATATATAATGTTAATAAATAAATAATTTGAAAATTATCATGACACCTATGTGCATCACAAAGTGAAATGAAAAACAAAACATATATCTGAAATAGCTTGGCATTAACACTCTTATTCGTGATATGAATTTATTTTATTTTCATAATTTTTTATTTTCATAGTTGACTTCGCTTTGAAGGTTCTCAACGTAAATGATGATGAGACAGTAAGGTTACAATTATGGGATATTGGCGGTGAGTCACGTTTAGATTTTGTTATAATTCACCAATTAAACATTCCGCTTCTAACAATATACTCTTAAGAAACTGTAGAAATTTAGGTAGAATCTAATGCATATAATTTCCGTAATAGCGATATATACCAAAATTGTGTACAAGTGCTTTAGGTGTGGACTAGAACTTACAGTAACTTGTTTCTCCCCCAAAGGTTTCTTCGCGTCTGAGCTACTCTTATCTGTCCACAACAGTGGACCAGTACGATGAAGTAACCACCTTCTCATCTCGAAAGGTGTACTGTGTTCTTTAAAGTGCACATGCGCCTAATTGTGTACCCTCGGCCCATGGTTTTGTGGTCCTTATCTGAGAAGATTTGTTCCACCATCCGAACCAGAGCCGATATTTTGGTTGTACCTTGTGGTGCTTGTGCCATCCATTCATGTTTTCTGGTATATTACCTACATCATCACTATACAGTAATTATTATTCATTGTTAAATATATTTTCTGTATACAGTGTGCTGTTTATATACTGTGCTAATACTTTATGAGCTTAATCAATGTACAAATTTTCTTTTGCACAAATGATGTTGCAGTATTAGTATTCAGTTCCTGATAGATTTGTTCATAAATGTAGATTTTCATCATAGACACAATATTGTAAAATTTGTATGAAGAGATTCCAAAATGAATTGTTTACATAAAACATGGTTTCAGTTATATTTCTTTGAGGGGAAGAAAGCACTGCAGGCAGTAATAGAAATTTATTAATTTAATGTATTCCTGATTGTGTTATAATGTAATTCAGTCATTTATAATTCATTTAAACTACTATTTCCTGTTTCTGACTCATATTAATCAAAGGTTATCTGTAGGTGATCAACATTTTTGTATGCAAAAACAAAAATTATTAGGTTATTATTTGGACCTTTTATTATTGAGTGGAAGCGGTTTGGAGCATCGGCAATGGCTGTGCAACTCGTTTGTGTCCTTGTGTCCTAATATCTGCGTTGCTCCTCTCCACCCAGGAGTATAAATGGGTACCTGGTGGGGTTGCCTGCTACTGCGCCAATATGGCAGCAACACTTATGCATGTGGAACCCAATGACCAGGGAAAACAAAGCGCTTTGTAACCTAGGTGCTATATGTGACAAAACAAGCCAAAACAGTCACTTGTCGCAAAAATGTATTAATATACAGGGATGTAGTTATGGTGGGTGGAGGCGTGCGGGGCCACCCAGCCTTGAAATTTTCCAGCCAGTCTAAAGCTAATTTCATGGCCCTTCACCCACCCTTATTAACCAACTTTGCTGTACTTAAATCTATTCTTAATTAGAGTTTACCATGTTTTCACCCACCCTTAGTTTGCTACAGCTACAACCCTAAATAGGGTTAAACAGTAAAATGAGAGCTATAAAATGGTAAAAGAATCATTTAAATCAGACATTTCCTTATGAAGTTACAACCGTTTTTATATTATACAGCTATTTAAAGATCAATGAGAAATCAGCCTTCAAAGTTTATGATTTCAGCATTTCTCAAGCAGATACCATTACCAAATTGTTTTGACCTTGAAAATAGGGAAAAGACAGCATAGCATCATGTATAGATATAAAAATGTTAGTTTAGAGCAATAAGATATTTAAAAATGTTGACATTCCAGCATGTTTTGGCCATGATATCTGAAACATGATTTGCCACAAGTAACTGGTTTGGCTTGTCCTTGCCACATAAAAAAATACCAAGTATACCAACAAAATGAAAGTAGAGCACTTGGACCACTTGTTGTAAATAATATCTTTGTCCTCATTCAACTTGTAAGTTAAAAATTTTGGAGTTGTGTTGACCAATCAGAGTGCAGAGCCACCTGACTTAAATGCCCTTAAACTCCTGTATATTTTGTAATGACTACAGATGGATACAGATATCTTGATATCAAGATATCTTATTATTTTATTGTTAATTACTGTTTTTTGTATTGTTGTTACTGGCAGTTCTGTATTAGGAATGATTTGTATAGCATTAGCATGTTCATTTTTAATAGTAATTGAATGTTGTTAGTGTTACAATAGCAGTGCCAAATTCCCAAATGAGAGCTCCAATTTCATACTCAGGCCAACCGTGTTTGGAAAATTTTTAAGAATAGATAAAGCTGGAATGCAAATCTCAAACTGAAAAATGTAGTTTTCCTCGACAACATGGACAACTCCTTCCCTGACGGCTAGTTCTCTGCCACCCTCAACACCTGCTGGTGTTGCCACTATTGTGTTGTTTTCTTTTGTCAATTGCTGCCACTTCAGTCATCATGATTATTATTTATTGGGAATTAATTATATTATTTCAGTGTGGACACAGAAAACACTTATTTTATCAAACTTGAATCATCGGTTGCATTGTTTGTCACAGTGATATGAGTGTATATATGTGATTTTATGAAGTTGTAAAAGCTTGTGAAAGATCAACAAAGCTGAAATGGATAGACTATCAAATTCTTTTGACAAAAGACTGTTGAATGCCCATATAGTCAGATGTGCCTATATATAGTCATGATATGATGTCATCATGACCATATTTAAATTGTTTTTTTGACAAAAATTGTGTTGTGAATAAATACCGACATGTATGGAATCTGTAAGCAGATAATAGCCAGTGTTGTCTTGTGTATTAATGAACTCTTTTGACTCGTTTCAGGTCAAGAGCGTTACACCTCATTAACTCGTGTATATTACAAGGACGCATCAGCTTGTGTTATCATATTTGATGTAACGACGCGCAAAACATTTAATAGTGTCATGAAATGGAAGAATGATCTTGATTCCAAAGTGTCGTTGAAAGATGGTAGTCCTCTGCCATGTTTACTCCTTGCCAATAAAGTATGTATTTTTATTCACAAGATTCTTTTTGTTTAAAAGTATTTCTTTAATTATTTATTCATCCATTCGTCCATTCATTCATTCATTCATTCATTCATTCATTCATTCATTCATTCATTCATTCATTCATCCATTTATTCATTCATTCATTCTTTCTTTCTTTCTTTTGTTTATTCATTCATCCATCCATCCATCTCTTCGTTCGTTCATTAATTAATTAATTAATTCATTCATTCATTCAGTCATTTATTCATTTATTCATTTATTCATTCATCCATCCATCCATTTATCCATCCTTTTTTTCATTCATTCATTCATTCATTCATTTATTCATTCATCCATCCATTCTTTCTTTTATTCATTCATTCATTTATTTATTCATTCATCCATCCATTCATTCATTCATTCATTTGTTCATCCATCCATCCTTTGTTTCTTTCATTCATTCATCCATCCATCCATCCATCCATTCATTCGTCCATTAATCTATTTCATGAATCCATACATCCATACATCCAATCCAATCCATCAATCCAATCCATCCATCCATCCATCCATCATTTCAATCTATCCTTCCATCCAATCCATCCATCCAATCCATCCATCCATCCAATCCAATCCATCCAACCAATCATTTATTTTTTCTTTCATTCAGTCATACATTTATATATTGATTTGTTGATTATTTCACATCCACCAGTTAAGTGTTCTCAGTTAAAATTAATTTTAATTTTGAGCATAAATCTGTGTTTGCATTAGATTGTTTTTTAATTGGACAAAGCAAAACTTCAACGCATTTGAATCGTACCAATGTTTACAGTAGGTTTTCTTGAGCTTGTGGCTCTAAGACAGAATTGCTCGCATATGTTCGCATATGATCAGTCTGATTGTGGATACTAAGTGTGAAAACCTCAGCAATATTGGATTGTTCATAACGGACTTTCTACTCAAGAAAAAATCCGGCATACTGTATTTAATATTGCTGGGCAACGGTCGTCAGCCCAAGCGATGCTAGGTAGAACGCAACGACGGTCGCATGCGCAACGGATCATTTTTTTAATGACGATCCATATAGACTGCCACCGACAATCAGCAGTTGGAGTCGCATCGTCAAAGAGTATAAAACTGCAAGAAGTCCGACTGCCGGGGATTCTTTGAAACGCAATCCAATTTTAAAAAGTACTACCCAACAGGGGTGTGGACTTTAAAACGACGTAAAGCGTGCTGCGCGTCTATAGAATGTATGCTGGAATTCGAAACGCAGCACGTTCTTATGAAGGACACGCCCCTTTGTACTTTTTAACGTTCCATTGCCTGTATACAAAATAAGGGCAGTCGGACCTCATGCAGTTTTATACTCTTTGGCGTTGTCTAGCGCTCACAGAGAGCGGAGTTAGGGTTGTTGTACAACCATCCTACGACCGTTACCACACCTACTTACCACACAGCTACAATAATTTAACTACTGTATGTAGAATGTTGCTTTTACCAAGAGACTAATTTCGTGACAATATTATAGGAATATTATTTAATGTGGGTTTTTTTTCTTTTTTTAGTGCGATCTTGCACAACATCGTGTAGTGTCTTCACACGATATTCAAGAACTCTCACAAAACAATGGGTTTATTGGTTGGAGCGAGATATCCGTTAAAGAATGCAGCAATATAAGTGAATCAATGATGTAAGTGTTTGTATATAAATAGTCCCTTCATCATCATCTTCATGACCCCACTGGAAATAAGTCTTCTTCAGACTTTCATGGGTTGTCCTGGGTGTTTACACCGAATAAATCCAATCTAATTCAATCACCATCAACATCATCATTGTTATAATCATCATCATTCCATCAACAGTATCAAAATCATCATTTCATGAACATCACCATCATCAATATCATAATCATCAACATCGTTATCATCATCATCATCATCATTGTTATTTTTACCATTATTACCATCATGACTATAACCATTCATCATCTTCATTATTATCATCAACATCTCATCATAATTTTAATCATCATCATTAGACATCATCTTCATCATTATCATAGTAATCATTGAAATTGTGTGTATAAAATGTGTAGGTTTTTAAGCATTTTCTGTTGGTTTAATTTCAAAGTCATAATTATAATTTATCAGTAGTGATATTAAACATATACATTAATGTCTTCACAAATTAATAATATTTTAAAAATATGTCAATCCATTGACCAAATAAACAATATTGTTGCCAGATCTACTAATATTTGGCATTTCTTTTTCATGATATTTCAACAGGTTTCTAGTAGAAGAAATTCTTGCAAGAAACACACTGACAGGCCAGCCAGGATCTGTAGCAGATGAACTCACCGATAGTACAGGCAGAATTACCTTGACACCAAATACATCAAAATCTTCAATTTTCTGCTGCACATGATAATACTTATACTTATTATATCCTCTTCATATAGCAACCGCGTTATAAGCACATAAGTTCTTGATTGACAATAGGGAGCCTTCGATTTGCGATGACATACAACTTTAAAAACTTAATGACATCATGTTAATTTAACTTTGCATGTCTGAACGTTGTGCGTTGCGTTCTCTCCTGAAATCTGGAATGGTTGTCGGCCGAATCTACGATCAGGCCACGATGAGAACTGTGCAGTATTAAACATTGTTGCGTCAGTCTTTGCGTTGATGACATCCGCATACGCGTCGTAAACAATCAAACAGTCACGGTGAGTGAATCCGTTCTAAGTTCCTGTTATACGTTTTCAATCGAAAGCTCCCTAATGAGACAGTGGAATAATTTTTGCATCCCCTCTCAAAGTTTGTCTAAAGCCGTGTTCACATTAAATTAATTTTCACCAAGTCTATACGTAAATTGATGTTGTCAGTCTATATTTCTGTTTATACTATAACGATAAACGATAAAAAGCTAAAAAGCAATTGTTCATACAGAAATAAAAAAACACTAGCACGATTCGATGGTGATTTATCATGTATACGTTAAAGAAATATTTTCACAATAAAATCGTTTTTACTACACCAATTTTATTGTGTTCCCATGGTTATGACGTCATTTGATTTGTGAAAATATTTTTTTATCATATACATGGTAAATCAAATTGTGCTAGTGTGAAAACTATTTTTATATGAACAATTGCTTTTTACCTTTTTATCGTTGATCGTTATTATTATAGTGTAAACAGGCCTATATTGTAGATACTGTAGATTCAGTGAAAGTTCATCAATGTGCACAGTATTTGCTTGCACTGAGGAACATTTAACTTCGTTACACTGTCCACATGCTTTTTCACACTTGATTTTTTTCGGTCAAAGTGACCACGCACATGGTTAGTTTGACCAAACTTATTCCAATGTAAACACGGTTTTTGTAAATGTGACCTGCTTTTGTAGTTTCATGTCCGAGTATTGCCAGAGGTTGTGGCAGTGTGAATGGGGTATAAGCTGGATAAGGTTAGCAAATTGCCATGCTAGTTATGTAACTAATAAGTGTACTCTCGTTGGCTAATTCTTTGTTTTTTGAAATGTTATGATCGAGCATGTTACGATTATGTCTGTTGATCAAAATGAAAATTTATACTGCTGTTAACCTGTCCAGTTGACTCCGCTGGAGTGTTACTTCCACATCCAGAACAGTCCCACATTCTACAGTACTAATCACAGGCAGTGTGTTTGGTGGAATGAAGTGCTTGCAGGCAAACTGCGGGCAGTGGACACGGGCAAAGTCAGCTAGTTCTGCTAACAGGCAGGGTTCTCTTTGGCTTTCATGCTGTAGTAAACAGAGTTAGGGCCCCACGCTGCCTGCAGTGCCTGCCATCTAATTGCTTTTGCTGTTAATGAATGTGGATTGCATTACCCATGGCAAGTGTGGGCAAAAAGTGCACTGCTTGTGATTGAAACAAGCTTTTCCACAGCCTAATTTAAATACTTATTATAGTTGAATTTGCAAGAGTACTAATATAAGGTCAGAAATATTTATCTATGGTTTTTTCCTTCATTATTTGTGTATATTGCAGTGTCTTGTCTCTTAAAGGATAATTAACATACATATGATTATATTTTAAAATTTTAATAAAGGGGAATGGTTTAAAATATTATTAAATATTCATGTTTTAGATGTGAATATTAAGGAAGATGTAAAAACTACTTAATTTAATTCAAATATATCTTAAAAATTGATGCAAATAACCTTAAATTTTATTAAACAAATGCAATCAATATTTTAAGGAAAACTATAAATGTTTTAATCATTTTATCAACTTGTGAAAAGGGTTTATTTTGTGATAATTATTTTTTCAATCATGTTATATGTTTAAATCACATACTTATGGGAAATATTAGGAAAATATATATATATATATATATATATATATAAAACTATTTTATAAATTTGTATGTATGATATTGAAATATAGTTAGTGTAGAATATAGTTATTAATATTTTATAGAGGAAATGTTATGTTATTCAAAAATCTATTATAATCACAAGAAAGTGTTTGCTATACAGTAGTGGAATATGTTGGTATATCATACAATTTTAAAACATGTTACAATGTTTTTACATAATATAATACCATGCAGACTCTAAAAAGACTGAGAGAAGCCACGATTCAGTAGTTCGTTCTTTATTCGAACATCATGAGGAATATCATGTGTATTGTTATTATTATTAATAATTTCTACACAAATACACAAATTCTGATTATACAGTAATGCACAACTGCAAAAACTTTAAAAATAGGGTTAGTCACTACATAAGTAACAGAGGGAGAGAGAATTATACCAAAACAACATTAGTGCTAAAGAGAGAACCTATTTGTAAATTAATGTTTTTGACAGAGTCAGTTGAAGAATTAAAAGGCCAGCAAAAAATGTAAATTTTATGTAGATTTTATTGTTATCTGTCATAACCAGATTGTTAGAACCAATCATTTATTGGTAAATTATTGATTCTCATTGCACTTAAGTTATTTACTTAAATTATTCTGCTGTATTTGTAAGTAAAATGTCACAACTCCTATTGGTGTGTTAAACCTTGATTTTTGTTTAAAATATATTAAAGAGATGCGTGTCCAGACTATCAAATTTGACTCAAGACAAAAAACATCTGACATGCCTAAATATGGTCATAATGACATCTAGTCATGACCATATATAGGTACATTGTGACAATACCGTATATATGAATACCAAATTTTTTTTCAAAGAAAATTTAATAATCTGTGATAGAACTTTACATGATGTAGATGAATTAACATTGCATTTTGCAATTGCTGTATTTTTTTTTTATACTTAGATATCAAGTGCTTTCAAGTGAAGGAGAGTTGGATTCAAGAGAAGAGAGAACCCCTCCTAAGTTTTTCAAAAATATTAAAATGATGGAGAAAAAGAAGGAAAATTATAATTAAATTTAGGTCTGAGAGTGCCATTTCCGGTCATCTAGAGATGCCAAAATCGTAACTACTGTATGGTGGGGCTGAGGTGGTGTTTAGACCTTCTATTTGTTGAAGTCCCTTCTTAGGCCCCCCTCTATTTCAAATTCCTGGATCTGACACTGTGAAGGATACATTTTCAAAGTCATTCAAAACAGAGGCGGTGCCAAAGAGTTTTGACAAGAGTCAAAATGTTCCGTACACGAGGTCCACCACTGCAGTTCTGTTACTTCAAGGGTGCTCGTTATCGCACCAGCCATCAACTCTAATGTTTTTCCACTTTTACATACAAACATAATAAATTATATGCATTTTATAAGTCATGGTTGATTGTGTAGACAGTATAACAATTTAAAGATATACTGCTATGCAAAAAATGAATAAAATATGTTAAAAAATCAAAATAGAACTTTAAATTACACATCTAATCCAACCACATATCCTGACAGAATTTTACTGTGGAAACTTCTTTGGCAGAGTATATGCAAAGGTTCCAATTAAAGACCACTTTTGGTACCAGCCCAGTGTTTCTATGGTCTTTAGCAGCTTTGGCTCCTAATTAGAGTAATAAAGATAATAGACTTTTGTTAATATGGAACCACAGAAAAGTGGGGAAATCTGTATTTCTCTTGCAAATTTTTAGTAGAAAGAATTGATTTCCATGGCAGTATATTTTAAAAGGATATATATATTATTTTGGTAATGTTATGCATGGATTATACAGTATCAAGGTAAATAATTTTATGACTATTAAAATATAAGGAATTAATATATTTGTTTATGCAGTTTTTATTTATGTTTGTAACTGGAAAAATAGGCTCCGACCCAATGGAAGAGTGTGTCTGCTGCTCTTATTTTTAAAAAAATGTTTATATTTTGTTGTTTTGTTTTGCATTACATGCTGGTACAGTACTTCATGTGAGCAGAGCGGATCCAGTAGGGGGCCACTAGATTTTCAAATTTCAATGCATATATTGCAATTAGCACTACTTGCTTATCTTCTGAATATGAAAAATTCTGGATCTGCCCCTGGTGGCTCCTTTTGCAAATGCATACCTCTTTATAACTCAACGACGTACACATATTTTTATAAATCATTATTGAAGCAGAATCAGTGGTCTCTATCTCTTCTAAAAAAGTGAGCATATAAAGACTAAAATAATACAGAAAAAATAATAAGTGTTATAAGCCTTATAATTGCAAAATCTGTCTTATGAATCCTTTTTTCAGAGAAAGAAAAACATAATGACACAAAATATTTAGTCAACAGTGGTCACAACTATTGAGTGTGGTAGCTACAATGTGATACAATTATAAAGTTGTGGATGCTTCCTTAGTACCTTCCTAATTTGATAATGGACCTTTCCGCTAAGCCCCGCCCCTTGGATATTGTTGCTAAGGTCCCACAAGGCGACAGTGTTAAAACATACGCGAACACGTGCGTTTGTGGGACAACACGTGTGTTTGTGAGACGTGCGCGTATTCCTAGCGCTGTTCTGATTAGTCAGTCGTTAAGTTTGATTGACACTCCGGAAAGGTATATTGAGACAAGAGGCAATGAGAGACACCTTCATATAATAGAACAACTAGATTCAATGCAAAGGAACATAATTTTCATAAAGTATGTAATATAATATAGAGAGGTGTGTGATCAATTTTTGTTTCACTGGCATTGTTTTTATTATTTTTATCATCTAGTACAAAATCAGAGCAGATATTTTCAAATTCAATAATTTCTATGCTCAAGTTAACTATTTTTATTTTACAGCAAAAAGTTCATTTCAAAATTATTTTAGTATGTTGTTATTTTCAGTTGACAACATGGAGTAAAACAAATTTTGATATTTTGTAGAACTGATTTTTTCTAAGACACAACAAGCATATTTGACGAAAAACTCGGAAGCAGTTAATGAGATACAGGCGGGAATACTGGTTTTTGAAAAAAGGGAAAAAAGATGAAAAAAGGATGCTTTGTTCTTTCCCCCCAGTTTTTAAAATATTTAAAAAAAATGTATCTCACTGCTTTCGAGTTTTTTTGTCAAATATGCTGTTTGTGTCTATTAGAAAAATCAGTTCTACCAGGGAGTTGTTATAGTGGTTTTTTTTTTTGTTTTTGTTTTTGTTTTTTTTTTTTGCACCCGAATCTGCTTTTTAAGAATGTGTGATAAGAAACTCCGATTGAATAAGAATGTGTGATAAGAAACTCGGATGTCTATTGGTTACAGCTATGATGACGCGCGTTTCTTATGATCGGTGGTTGGTTGGTTGGCTCAGCCGAGAAGAAGATAATTAACGATGCGGGCGTCCCATTCACATGTTGTTTTCTTTTTTTTTTTGTTTTGTTTGTTCGGTGTTTAATAGCATTTTCTTCAATAAAATGCAGTTTATGGGTATGTTTACCTGGTAAAATTGATTAAGTTTTGTGTCAAGTTAATACAGGAATTTAAACACTAATTATAATGTCCTATTACTTTCTGATTCGTGTAAATAAACTTAGGAGGATAGCTAGGCTAGTCCACACCACAAGAAGGGCCAAGACCTGATGAATGGCAGTGTCGTTGTGTCTAGCCGCGACGCCCACTAACCAAAGAAGGCTCACCTACAGTAGGCTTTAGCCTAGGCCTAGTAAGTACTCTACTAGTACTACTACTGTACGACTACTACTACTACTGTTAATACTAAGCATATAGTTTGAACAGGTCTTCGAGAGTACAGTTCGGACTAGAGTAGGCCTAGGCTAGGTAAGCCTATTTCTCCCAAGTTCCCAGAAAATTGCAGGTTTCCCAGATTTTTAAGGAGTTTCCCAGATTTTTAAGGAGTTTCCCCGCTTCCCAGAATTATTACAGTTTTTCCCAGAAAATATATAATTTTCATTGTGAATATAAAAATGGCTCCTAAGGGTATATTTTCAATAATTAAACAACATTTTTCTCTTCCAAATAATTAGGTTACTTAATTTAAACAACTCCATGCCTTCTTGCATCACCACCTAAATTTAATAAAACCTGAAAATGACATGACACATTGAATTAACATGTCATACATGTAGTTAATACACCAAAAAAAAATAACCTAGAAATTTATAAATGACAGAATAACCAGAAATTTCACTTCACACACTTGGAACCTCTGGATGGAGGAATAAGTTTATCGCAAACTGATAATACAGAATAGGTCAATAACTCATCCCTCTCTACTGGCTGCTCAACAAGGGAAGAACTGTGTGATTTAGCTTGCCTAAAAGGCCTAGGATAGGCCTACTACAACTTTACTAGGCCCTAATCCCTAGCAAGAGTATTTTATGCCTGCAATTTTTATTATAAAGAGTAATTAAAGACTGTAATTTTGAAATTTTTCAGATTAGCAAATAAACAAAAGGGGGCCTAGGCCTAGTTAATGTCTTTCTTAGACAGATGAAACTGTGCGAGATTTTCTTGCACAGTTTGTAAACTGCGCAGGTATTTCCTTGCATAGTACACAAATAATTTCCGTTTACTAAATACCACCTTCTTCAGTGCTATTCATTTGCTGCATAATTCTATTGTAGAGGAATACTTTGATACAGTAGAGTTCCTCTGAATCCATACTGTAAAGTTTTTTAATTGTGCAGAGGATATCTCAAAAATCAGCTCAAATTTGCGTGGAAAATCGTTATGAAAATAGGTGCGTGGAATCGTAATTGCTCCATTAAATTGCATTGGTTATATATTTGGATTTGGTCAAAGCCTAATTTATAGCAAAAACTGTGTGGAAATCGACACTTATTTTCCAAAATTGTGCGGAAGGATTTCTAGGTCAAATTTTTGCGTGGAGGATATATATAACCGTTGTTTTAAACACATGATCATTTCAATCATATGTACTGTAGGCCTACCGTATATGAAGAGCCTCAATTTTTTTATTGACTGATAAATTGATTGAATTTATTTGATGCTCGACATACACATACTGTACAAGAATAAAAATGATTTGTGAATGAAATAATAAAAAGTAATGAGTATCAGTCTAGCCCATTTCCAATGGGGTCCAAAGTAGCAGTAATTACAGACTGGATGAATACTAGTAATATAATAT